ATAGGTTGATTACTACGATGGTGTAGCTGTAGGGGCGTACGTAGCTGTTCGTCGCCGAGCCGAACAAATAACGTAATACGAAACGCCGGGGTTCGATTTCAACCAATTCCATACAACCGTTATATAGATATAGGTTGATGTTGGTCAGGTCCTTTCCGATCCAGCATCTCCGGTCCAGGTCGCAGGTGCAGTCGGCGTGTATATCGAATCCTCGAGCTTCAAAATCTTGATTCACGTGAAGATACACTTCTACGAGATCTTTCGAGATGCGTGTTATGTATTGTCGGTGCCGTTTCATCTTTTTCAACTTTTTTCCATCCTGCGATGTGGGTGTGTATATATACATGTAGTACAAGGTCGCTAAAGTGTTATCACGCCTAAAGAAAGTCGGGACCGGGCGCCTCGTTAATCGAGGAGTACGTTCCGTCCAGGGTCGTCAGGGTCGCATGTCTCGAGTGATGGAAAGAGTAGTGGGGGGTGGGGTCTACGACCTTGGAATGTATATATATATATATACACTGGGATGGGGGCGGCTAATCTACACACAAACTATGGAACGACACCAAGAGTACATGAAATGCATCCCGAAAGAGCTCGTAGAATCGTATTTAAATATGAAGCGAGCCTTCGAGTTGCGAGGCTTCGACTGGCACGCCGACTGCACCTGCGACCTGGACCGGAGATGCTGGATCGTAAAGGACCTGACCAACATCAACCTATGTCTATATAACGGTTGTATGGAACTGGTGGAAATCGAACCCCGGCTCTTCACGTTACGGCACCTGGTCGGGTCTGTGTCTTTCGACAAGTCGACGGCGATCTGCAGAGTTCCAGAGAGCTACAGCATCATCGCAGTCAACCTGTTGCTACGTCGTCATCGGTGCATAGAACGCCTTGAATTTTCGTCCGAACTCGTCGCTTCGCCACATTTTGACTTTGTTCTGGAGAGCTTGGCCGACAATGACGGTGTCACCAAATTTGGCATTCACAATCTACACGGCGAATATCTGAACGAAGTGTTTGACGCGGCTTCGCGACTCGGCAATTTAAGGGAACTGTGTCTGGTGGATACCGTACTACGTCGGGACGTTGCAAACACCTTCAAGAGAGCTCTAAGATACAATCCGTGGATCGAATGCGTGGAGCTCATCCGAAATTCTGTCGAGGGTAACGACGAATTTTTCCTAACCACTTTAACGATGCTACCCAAACTACGCAAATTTGTCTACGACAATAACAGTGTGCACGAAGATGCCATCTACCACCTTGCCACGTTGATGGAGCGAGACACCTGCCTCCTCGAAGAACTCAGACTATCTAGGTGCTTGCAAGAGGAGAGTACCGGCGCGCGATTTTTTGAGGCACTGGGCGAAAATTCGACTTTAAAGGTTCTCTAACTAAAGGCCTGCCTACTATCCAACGAAGCGATCGACAACCTGGCGGTCGCGCTAAAGAAGAATCGGCGACTCGAGAGACTGGAAGTGATCTACTCTCGAATGGAAGGGGATTGGATCGCACCGATAGCCGAGGCGCTACGCGTGCATAATCGGACGCTCAAGAGACTCGACCTCGAGGCGACGAACGTGTGGCCGGAGCGATGCGTTCTCCTACTCGAAGCCATGAGCAAAAACTCGTCTCTAGTCGAAGTGAATCTCGGCTATCTCTGCGGCATAGACGAGGTCTTGGAAACGATCGTGGAGCGAGGTTTACAAGATCGAATTCGTATTGGAGTCGTCGGCACAGTGATGGGTCATGCTCTGTGTGATCTGCGGGCCGTGAATCTTCTCTCGACCATTAAGAACCTGACCGTAAACTATAGCGGCATCGGTGCGGTGAGTGCCTATTCGAAGCTACTGTTTCATTTTGCGGCACAGTCGACTGCCTTGAAGGTCTTTCAGGTCAACCTGCTGCCACTCATCTACAAAGAGACCTGCGACAGTATAACCGAATTTTTACGAGCCACGACGACGGTCGAAACCTTTCATTTCAAGTCTCTCATGAGCAACCTCACCATGGTGGATAGCGTCATGATGGCGATGGCAGAGAACCGAAGCGTGGTCGAGTGGTCTTGTGCAGACTGCGTGATTTACCCGCAAAGTCTACCGGTTCTGCTCCATATGCTGCGCACCAACAAGACGCTCGCGTACTTGGAGATGTCGGCATATTTAACTGCGGAAGACTACGGGCAAATTGCGTCCGCCATGTCCAAGAGTATTCTCAGACTCGCTATGCAAAACGCATACGAGGACTTTGGAGTTGGCGAGGTGCTTCGCCAAAACCTTCTGAGAATGAACAGGGCCGTCGAGTTTGTAACCGACCCGGAGGACTTTGTCGAGTGCGAGTGTGTACGTAACTTTGAAGACGTGCTGGACACCGCCTCGTTTGCAAGGCACTTTGCTCAGGCTCACCCCCAAGACAATAGCCGCTTGCCATCGATGTTGGCGCGCGCCAAGCGGTCTATCAAAGAACGTTTTTTCGAATTTAGCGGAATTTGCAGAGACAAAGTCCCGCTGTGCGAGTCGAGTGGCAAGCCTATTCTAAACTACGAGTGTTGGCAGCAAGTCTTTTCTTTTCTCGCTCTCAACAACGTGGTGTGGTGAATAAAAATGTACAATTCGTAATCTACTTGGTGGTGTATTTATCGACCTAGCTAGAGCAACAAGTCTGCTCTAGAGTAGCATTTATTAGGGCCCTCTTCTCATTAATGGCATTGGTAAAAATATTAACCCGTACCGATGAGTTGACCTTTCTAATTACTGATACCGACACGATCGACCTGATATCAGAATCAAATAGTTCTTGCATAAATATATAAAGATGCATGCACGCACAATGTCTACTGGCGCATGCATCTCTTTTTATCTATGCTTTCTTTTACCCGAGAAGGTGTGCAAGCATGCTTTTAAAGCGTTGCCTCGAGCCCAGCTTTTTTTTTTTTTCTGGGCGACGGCCAGAGTTTCTAGAGCGCACAATCGTCTGCCTCGATACAGGCCGACAAGTGTTCCAGACCACTCGGGCCGTCGTCTTAGGTAACTATTAATATTTAATCAAACATAAGGAGAGAGCATAAAGATGTTTATTTGATGTCCTTTAGCTTCAAATACGAGGCGACCGCCTCCCAACATTCTCTGTTTAAAAATGGAAAGGCACACAGAGACATTTCACTGTCACATATTCTTGCCAGTTGAAAAAAGTTTTCACGAATGTAGCGGCGAGCCCGCGCCAAGACGTCCACTTCACTCGAGTTGACATTCACACAACAGCCGTCCTTGGACGTAGATGGTGATGGGGGGCTTACATCGCACAGCAGAGATTCCAGAGCCCGCACGTCGTACATGTCCGGAGCAGCATCCGCGACGCTTGGATCGGCCACAAACTCTGCGGCCCTGTTCAAGAGCCACCTGTTGTGTCGCACTGCCTCTTGTATGACAAACACTCCCGATCCTCCGGGGCGACGGTTGTAATCATCTTTTCGCAGCTCGACACATCGGAGCCGAGGGTTCAGTCCGTCGAAGCCAGCGTAATAATCGATGCCGCGTGGCGTCGTCGACAAGCACAGTTTAATCAACGTCTCGTTGTTTTTGAAAACTTTGTAGAGACTTCGCAGGGCTCCCGAGCTCGCGACGACACACTTCAACCATTCGAACGATTCTAGTCCGTGGTTTTCCGATAAGCCTTCCAAAACCGTCTTTACGACCGACTGGCGTTCTTGTCCACACGTGACCGAGCGTCTTCAGAGTCTTAGAGTCTGCTATGAAAGCGGCCACCTTTTCAGCCACACTGTTCAAAAAGTTGGAAAAGATATATACGTGTTGCACGTGCGGGGAGGCGCGGAGGGCGTCAAACGTCTCACCGAGGTATTGGTGAACCTCGCGTGACATTCCATGTTCGATGGTTACGTATTTAAATTGTGCCAATAATTCTACACTTATGCGGCTATTACACAAAACGGCCAAATGTAAGCGCTGGCACTGACCTCGGTCGATGGCCAGCTGCGCCAATTCGCCGAAATCTGTCACGTCACCAAGCCTCATGACTTGTAGGCTCTTGTTGATGGATAAAGCCTCTATCAAAACCCGTAGGCTGCGCGTAGACAAGGCTATGTTATCTCTTAGATTAATTTCGATTAAAGACCGATTATGCGCAACGGCCTCAGCCAGATAGGATGCCGTATCGTCGTTTAGGTTGGTGAAATTGAGTTCGAGCGTCTCGATCATGCAATTTGTCTTCATCAACAATCGCGCCAATTCAACGACGGCCTCGTTTTGGAAGGAAGCGCCAATCAACTTTAGGCGTCTGATAGACGTCATTGCGCGCAGAAAATCTGCCTCTATTATACCTCCGGTAAAGTATAAGCTTTTGAGGGCGCAGCCCGGCCTCTCTAGCATCGCTTGCACGGACCTCAGATCTACAAAATCAGTTTCGTAAGATAACTCCTCCAGTCCGATTTGAAACTCTGATATCCACCTCAACAGGTGATTTGTGAATGCCTCAGACATGGTGGTGATATTTATATTTACGATACGTAGATTACGGAGGTGTTCAATGGCCCGATGCAGATCCATCATGCCCACGGTTACTTGCGCCATGTCAGACATGTCGGTTTCCGTGCAAGTTTCATCTACAACCAATTTACTAATAGACGAATTTTGGCGTATACCGCACAAAATCAAATCTTTAAACATTACGGTACTTTTGCCTACCAATTTCGAAGCATTTCGTCGAATTACGCACGAATGTTGCCTGAAGAGAAGGTACATTATCATGGCCGCCTCCGATTCCTTGGTGTAGTTCATGTCGTCCTCCACGCCTTCGCCCGTGTTCACACATTCTACCGCAAGGCTTTTTGCTGAAATCTCGACAATTTCAAGTCCCACGACAAAAAGTATAGCATTAATTGCTGTTAAGACGTGATGCATTAGGAGTAGCCCGCACGTAGACCCGGAACTACATCCCCTCTCCAGTACAGGGAATGCGGTCTTCACGGTCTCGTACATTTTCCACCTGCTGACAGTCTGGAAAAAAACAAAAACCTGTCTATATAATAATTGAATCGAAATACAAAGAAGAAAAGAAATACCTGATGATCGAGCTCCATAGCTCTACTGGAAGTGGTGGATCCGAAGGATAGCGAGGAACTCCTGATCGTTGTCTAATTGACAGCGTGAGTAGTAGTCGTGTCGCGATGTGGGTAGTCGTGTGTCGTGTCGAGTGGCGATCGCTTAAATATCCGATACCTCCTTCTTTATTTGCAATATCTCTATTCCGACGTCATTGATAAATAAAGTGTTCCGAGAAAATCCACTCGAAATAGCGTCCTTCGATGCATAAACTCCTCTATACTGATAACATCTGGCACGTCGCTTAAAAAAGTGGCCGCCGGCAGTAGGAGAGGAGGAGCGGAGGAACTTTGCTAGCGCCACACAAGAGCGAGTGGACAAACGAAGAAACAATTGTTTTTTCTTTTTTTTTTGGAATCGCGGAGAGGACGTCAACCCTTTCCCTTCGCCGTCCTCCTGCGATCTGGCACGTCGCTTAAAACAGTGGCCGCCAGAAGGAAGTACGAAAGGGCAAACACGAGCGCAGCGCAATTTTTTGCTTCACACTAAATCTTATATCGACCCTAGTACATGTTAATGTCAACGCTATGGGAACAGGTGCATCCGTCTACCTTTTCCGTAAAGCAGCCTTCTGGAGGCGTTAGCTAACTCTGGCGTGAAACTTTCGCTTTAAAAAGTAAAAATGCATAAAGTTTGTTTCCAACGCGTAACAAAACTTGCGCAGCGCAATTTTTTGCTTCACACTAAGTTTTATATCGACCCTAGTACATGTTAATGTCAACGCTATGGGAACAGGTGCGGACAAACGCAGAAACAATTGTTTTTTTCTTTTTGGAATCGCGGAGAGGACTCGCCGTCTCTGCGCCGCATCTACCCTATTGTTTGCCGCTTCGCGCGCTTCTCCTCTCCTTTTTTTTTCTGCGACCGCGCTCGTAAGAATGGGCGCGGAAGAACGTCTTTCGAAAGAGGAAACACTTGCGCAGCGCAATTTTTTGCTTCACACTAAGTCTTATATCGACCCTAGTACATGTTAATGCAAACGCTCTGGGAACAGGTGCGGACAAACGCAGAAACCATTGTTTTTTTGTTTTTTTTTGGAATCGCGGAGAGGACTCGCCGTCTCTGCGCCGCATCTACCCTATTGTTTGCCGCTTCGCGCGCTTCTCCTCTCCTTTTTTTTTTTTCTGCGACCGCGCTCCATATGGCTCTGCCGTCGATGTCCCAGGCTTTTTTTCTCCGTATAGAGGAGGCTATGTTCAAGGTCTTCCACATACTCGATAAGACAGTTTTAGTAGATACTGCCCACGACACTGATAACGATACCCGATAATCCGCCTCCCTTGCGTATGCAAAATATCAATATCGGGACTATCGGAACAATCCACGAAAAAACTCTATTGTTGCGCGTGACATGGTGGCCGATTATGTGGCGTCGTTTTAGTGTTCGCATATCACTACTTCCAAGGCCGCGTTCTGCTTCGAGTCGGCCATGGTGGTGAAGCCGAGTTAAACCTCGGCTTCATAGCGATCTCGAAGCGCGTAATACCGACGAAAAAAAAAATCACCACATGTGCAACCAGAAACGTCATTTTTATTCCTTTCTCTTAAATCATCACGTCACTGAGTCGCAAGTATGACGCCACGTGGTCCCAACACTTGTAATTCAGGAATGGTCGAGCGTCAAACACCATGTCGTTGCTAACACGGATCAGGCGAAAGAAGTGATCCCTCACATATCGGCGATACCGGATTAGGGACTTGGAAAGCGGTAGCGGACAAATGTCTCTCATGGTGGCGTAGTGATGAGCAAACCCCGTGGTGTAGAGAAGCGGTTCCAGTTCCTTCACGTTAGCTGCTTCCACCATCACGGTGTGGTTTGGACGCATCAAGAGTCCCATAGCCCTGTTCATTCGGTACGCGTTGCGGCGTAGCGTCTCCGCCACTTCGAAACAGCACTGATCGTCTATCGAATCCAACGTCAGTACGTTGGGGCCAATTTTTTGGGCCATCTTTCGATAGCTTTTGCCTGTGAGACCTAACTTAATTCCTATGTGCACGAGGGTACGATTTTTAGACAACATTCGAAATAATTGTCGCTTTGACGCATCGGTGATCAGGCCATAGCTCCACACAATCCGCGTGATGCTTTCGTTGCGCGCAAGAGCAATCAGTATGACTTTGGCCACGTCGGGATGCACCACATTGCTGTCGAATTGTAGAGTATCGATGCTCTTTGTGCGCGCGATCAGTCTCGCCAGTCCATGGATCGCACGCATAGACACCATATATGGCAGGTTGACGCAGAGTCGCTTTAACGTCGTCGACCTTTCCAACAACGCGCACATATTCATAAAGTCCCCGTCGTGACATTCACGGCACGCTATGGACAGTCTCTCGATGTCTTGCAGTTTCGACTCCACGATCGCATGCAGGCCGGGCGATATCAATTGCATGACATACACGTCTATGCGATGAAACGTGTCGGTCACGCCCATACAGTCGATCAACTGACGAAATATCTCGCCGTCGTACAGCTTCAACTGACGCAAGTTGTCGTTGGAGGTTAAGGCTTCGACGATGTACCGATAACCCACAGCGGTGATTTCGTTCATTTCGACGTTCAATACTTGAAGGCGCGGATTGCTTCTCAGACAGTCCCCCAGGTACCGAGCCGAATCGTCCGTCAAGCCGCAGACATTGAGCGCGAGGTCGACCAAGATTTCGCTGCTCGCGACGACGTCTGCGATCATCCGCGTCATTTCGGTAGTCAACTCGAAGGCGGAGAGTTGGAGACTCTTCAAGGTTGCGTTTTTCGCCAGAGCACACATTAGTTTCATGTCGGTTAGGTATTTGCGCAAGCACAATACCAGCTGCAAGTTCTCCAAGACGCAGATCGGACTCTCGAGTATCTTGCATATGCTTCCGAGAACATCTGAGTTGATCGGATTGTTGTACACGAGTCGTTTGAGGTACATAGGCCTATCGGCAAGGTATCGAAACACGTCGTACGAGCCAAAATCGTTCAGTGCAAACTCGACGTGTTCTAGCGGCAGAGAAGCCAGGGCGATGTTAAAGTCATTTACGCTCGAAAACGGTACATTTGCGTTGACGAGAACGAGCTTTCGAAGATTCTCGAGAGCATGCAGCGACTTGAACAGCATGCTCTTCATAGTTATTGCGCTTTCCGTACATGTAAATTCCTTCACACCGATGCTGGCCGAAAGTCCCTCGTAAATGACTTTGTAATACGGACTATTTAAAGCATACGCCGACAGGCGCACGTACCTGATACACTTGTGCATTTTCAGGATTAGATGCAGCAATATAACGGCTTGCGTTATGTTACACTTTCCCGACAGTTTGTGACAATTACAGTGTCCTACGAGTTCCACAAGAGCAAACTCCCCGGGTTTCACTTCCTTCAGTTCCATCTGGAGGCAAAAGAGGATGACGTTGATGGTCCACAGGTCCTTGAACATCCAGCATAATTGGTCCTTTGCCTTGACACACGACGATTGGAATTTGATGCCTTGCAATCCAAACTCTCGTGTCAGTTGACCGTAGGCTTCAATCAGCACGTTCGAGGGGTCTCGAGAGCGTAAATATTTGACAAAACCTTGACGGCGCTTGGTAACTCTCTTCATGTTGGAAATCTAGCGTCTGTAGTAGTTTGAATGTTCCTTCTTTTATACCCACAGGATGACCTCAAAAAAAAGACTTATCGTATCATCGTAGGCGACCTTGAAACACCAACGGGATGTTGCTCAATGTGACAGAGGCAGGCGTCGCGAAAGTTTTTGTGGTGGAGAGCTATGGCTCGCAAACAAGTTCTGCACGTAGTAATAAGGTCGTCTAAAGATTTTTCGAAAACGACGTCGCTCAATTTAAGTTTCGAAGACACTTATTGTGTATTGTGAACGTATTGGCGATAACGCTTCAACAGTTCGGGTAGTCGACCATCGCCAACCACCCGAGCATAGTGCTCGGCAAAGTAGCTCGTAAAAAGGACGCTTTCCAGTTTCGCGACAGTACTGACGGGTAGGTTTGCCGTCACGCAATAGGGGTCTCTAACGAGATCTAGAGCCCTGTAGCAGCGGTAGAGATTCCTCCCGAGAACCTCCTTCATCGGAAACGACCGATAGGTGGACGCGTAGTCGAACGACAGGATGTTCTCGCCGATCGCACGAGCCACCTTTTCGTGCGCGTTGGGGTGGACGCCGATGGAGAGGTCGATAAGAGTCTTGTTTTTTCGAAATAGCTCTTCCAGAGCGTTGAGTAGATCGCTCTTCCTATCGCCTATCACGCACTCTGGCCACCGGAACACGACCACGCTTCGATTATCGGCCAAAGCCTTAAAGATCGAGGTCGCCATGCAAGTGGTGCTGCACGGCGAATCGATGTAAAATTCGCGAACGGACGTCGTTTCTTTGAGAAAATCAGCTAGGGTGATAAAGTTTGACGCGATCTCGTCGCTTGGTGGGAAATTCACGTGCAACTTTCGTAGAGATTTGGACTTGAGTAGAATCTTGCATGTGTCGTAGAGGTAGTCGTCCCAAAAAAGTTTCATGGTGCGAATGGAGTCGAGGGTCCGTCCGCCCAGTTTGGCACACGACGCCTGCGTCGGTTTCTCTACGCTCATGACGTGCAAATCGTATCCCCAAAAAGGGTCGAGCGAGTCGTAGTTGCACAGTAGCAACTCCCGTTTCCTATCACCTACGACTGGACAGTGGAATGTCAACGCTCGTAGCAATGCCGACTGAGTGGCGTGCGAAAGGTTGTTGTAGCTAAAGTCGACATTGAGTAGAGTCCTATTCGTACTCAGACCGCGGGCGATGGTCCTTACCGATGTGTCGGTCAGAGCGCATCGCGACAAAACTAACGACTCCAACTCTTCGGGGTTCGAGGCGATATAGTCCGAGAGACGCTCGACGAACGACGGAGGGAATTGTGAACCGTCGAAGTTCAGTCGTCGGAGTGTTTGGTTCTCCGTCAGGGCGTTTGCAAAGGCTACAGCGGCGGCATCCCGCCAGCGGCATTTTAGGGTCAAGTCTTTAACGACGCAACGTTTGTGTCTCAGGATCTGACATAGGCCGCTAGCGTAGTGATTGACCACACACGACTCTAGACGCAGCGTCTGCAGATGCCTCGGGTCTCGTGCGACGTCTCGTAAAAGATCTACGGGCTCGTCTCCTCTGTTTATCTGAACGAGTTCTATCCACTTTAGGGGAAGACGCGCCAGCAATGCGGCGAATTGGTTTTGGCACGGCACGTTTGTGCAGACGAGGACGAGCTTCTCCAGTCTGGTCAGGGTTCCCCAGGCGTCGAGGAGTTCGGACGGCAACTCCTTAAAGACATTTATTTCGAACGCACGCAGTCCCCGGTTGTGTTTCATGGCTCCGTAAAGCCGCTTGGTAGTCGAAGATCCGATTACGTACTGCGAAAACTCCACACAGCGTATGCACGAGTGGTAGCGTAGGAGCGAGTAGAGCAGGTTGCGGCAGTCGTAGTCCGGGCTGCGAAAGTCGTTTGTGTTTTGGAAAAACACGATTCTCGAGAAGTCCCTCAGGGCGAAAGCGCCTGGCTCGTCGATCGTTTCTTTCAGCTCCATGCCGACTGTGTAAAGGATTGAATTCATCAGTGTTATTTCGTGCCAGGTCCAACAAGGTCCCTTGCCTTTCTGCGTACACGTTCGGTTCGCAAACTCCATTGTCACACGCCTGTTGGATATTTTTTTGCGAGTCGATAATCCGGTTCTTTATATGATTTCAATCTGGACTTTTGAAAGCTCCGGAAGCTCCAATGGCTTGAATGTGGAGACGGTTACCGCGCGCGCCGATCTAACTCGTTCGTCTAAGACGCGTACAATCTTGTCTTTTCTGGGTTCGTTTTCCACAATGTCTCTAAAGATGTACATGGTTTCGCTGATGGAATGGGGACTCCCTAGCTTATCCAAGGCTACGGCCAGCTGCCTGTATGTGTCGAAGGTATCGAAACTTTTTGCAGGTTTCGAAGGAGTGAGTTTGACGTTCGCAATCGTTTGGGCCATGCGCTCGGCAATGTCATCTGTGCGGAAGCTGATGTTTGAATTCTTGTTGCCAAAGCCGTCGAGCAGTGGAACGATTCGTTCCAAGTCGGACACCCTCTTGTTCTGCCAATACGCGCAATTATTCAGGTGGTAGTTTTTGTAGAACGAGTCTAGTCGCGAGTCGCTGCCTCGTTTGTCAAACATGTGCGAAACGGTCACGTAGCCATCGGACTCGAACGTTATATTTAATGGATAGGAATCAGAGGAGGAAGGTGATTGTATAAAAGACTTTGCGTGCGGTGACGGTTCTATAAGGTTAATCATGCCTTGTGAAGCGATTGCATCGCCATCGACGGTTACGTTCTTGTATATGTAATACTTGTAGGCTTTTAAAGATTTGTTTGTCACCTGAATGTCCTGAGGCAGTCTGGTGCATAGGTCCATCGTTTTCTTTCCGCTATCGTTTTCGTAAATCCAGTACTTTACGTTCGAGCCAAATACACCCGTCTGCGATCCGCCGTACTTGATGGGTAGAGAAGTCACCATTCGCAAGGTGCCCACATCGAGTGGCATCGTAGAAGTCCCATATTTTAATTTGAGTATAAACTTAAACCACAACTTTAGATTTTCCAAGTCGAAATGCATTACAGGTTCGTAGACGGATATCGTATCGTAGCCCCTATCTACGAAGACCGCGTGTTGGGAAGGTGCGAATGCATTATTAGCGGACCCCAAAGTAGGTTTAAAGGTTTCTCCGACCGTGTCTATCGTGCGATTCCAATCCCCGTCGCCGTCGTCAATGTGCTGCAGGACCAAGTCTTTAATCTCGTTTACCAAGGGCTCTAAGACGGGGAGGCGATATTGTATAGAAACGGTGCATAGTCTTTCCGACAGGTTTGTTGAATCGACGGGACTCTCCAATTCGATCATGGCGTCGTACAGGTTCGCCAGAGCGTCGGTGCTTTCCTCGCACATCGCGAAAGCATCCGTCCAGAGTCTTTCCTTCAAATAGACGCGCGATCCGTGAGCGTTAAAGAAAGATACGGGGTCCATGTACAAGTTGTCTATACATCTAAATTTGTCGCGCAGAACCTTGGACGTTCTGGTCGAGAGCCACGAGTGTAGCGTTTGCTTAAACCTTTCCTTAAACTTGGCGATTTTCGCTTGATCATTGCCAATGTCTCGCGTAAAGTCGGCGGGATAGGACGACGCCGGTCCGCAGGGCCGCGAAAAGATCAAAGAGGTAAACATGTTGTAGATTGATCTGTCTACACACGCGGCTTCCAGAGCGTACCTCTTCACGCAATCGTTCTTAAAGGCCGATTGCGGATCGTTGGTCGCAGGGGTGCTCTTGCCGTAGAGCAGTTGCAAGCACAAGGCCATGCGCACCCACTTGCTGGACAGGACGCTACCGTCGGTGTCGCCTCACCAGACCAGGTTATCTCCGTACAAGGGCTCGTACACGAGGGACCGGAGCACCGACGCCGCGTTGGAGTATTTGGCCGCTACGAATAAGTTGTTGTTGTGGGACATGCGCCTCAACAGGTATATTTTAGCGGGTGTGATTACCACGTGTTCGTGCAATGTTGCTACTATTTTCGCTTCTGACCGCGATCGAAGCGTCCTATATAGACAGAATAAAGCTCGATCAGGTTTGTTGGGAGCCTTGTCCGAACGTAACGGATTACATGCCCTCCAAAATTTTATATCACGGTGCGATCTCGTTGTACGACTATAGAAAGAGTCGGAAGGGATCATTTGGGTGTCCGCAGACTCCCCTGCTCCGCATCGACAACAAGCTGTTTGACTTTGGTGCACATTTCAATCTATCCGAAAATGGACGGGGCGTCTACCTTCTGGAAACGTCGGAGCCGTACTTGCACTTGTGTACAGACTCGCCTTCACCGCTTAAAGTGCTGTGCAATACGCGCGAAGGTTACTATGAAATCTTTGACAGCAATCCGCCTGTTCACCCGTACATTTACGAAGAGTGTAAAACGCCTAGTATGCGGTACGATTACTATAGAAAGAGTTACTTGCAGTGTTCGAAGCGACGATACTACATCGGAATTGGCGAATATGTGACCTTGAAGTGCGACGACACCGTTCAATACTACATTTGCGGAGGCCCGGGCATCTACCGCCACGCGTTCACATTGAGTGAGCGACAAGGAAACGATTCAATGAGTGCGTGTAACGACGTCGATTACGTGCTCCGACAACTCAACGAACGCGCCGATAGTACTACAGAGGAGGTCGAAGGTAGCGGTGACGGCGACGACACGCGAGTGAACGACGAGGACTTTGTTACTACTTCTCCTCCTCCTCCTACTACTACTACTACTACTACTACTACTACTACTACTACTACTACTACTACTCCTACTACTCCTACTACTACTCCTACTACTACTACTACTATTACTACTACGACGCGCAGAGATACAAAGTCTACAGGTTGGTGGTCAACCACCACCACCACAACAATACCAAATGCAACGGTCAAATCCACAAATAGTGTGGGGAAAAAAATCACGGGGACTTTGAGAGTAGTTATAGCGTGCGTCATCTTGACGATCGTCGTACGATAGATCTACAACAAGACCAGCCAGATACAAT